TTTGTCTAATTCTATTCCTTTTTCAGCTAGCATAGACTATACAACAATTAGTCTCTGGTCATAATGTTTAACACTCAATTGTTAACTAGATACTAATTTCAATCAAGATTGATTATCAAGTCCAAAAAAAGCCTGTCTAAAGAATTCAAAATTAGTTAGCTCTTATTCTCTTAAAAGATCAATAAAGGGGAAAGGTGACTATATAGCTGCTCCATTAGCCATCTTCGTCTTACTTTTATCCTCTCAAACTACTAAACCTCTACTTTTAACTTTACTACTATTAGGAAATTAGGCTAGATAAAAATTTTTCATTAAAAAAATTTTAAAGCAGTGATTTAATAGTAAATGTTTGAAGTGATTTAAAAAGTTAATGAATAATATTTTAATTCTGAACAGCCCAATAAAGTTGATAAATTGATTATTAGAAAATAATGATTTTAAAGTAAGCTATCATAAGAATTAGATTTCCAGCAATAAGTTCTGAAGTTAAAGAAAAACTTATTTGCTTACAACTAATTTGACCATGACTTATCAATTTATTAAACCTATACTAATTTTTAAACACATAATTAAGACCGATATATCTATTAAGTGAGAATGCCTTGTATTGGGGGATCTAAAGAAATAAAAGGCATCAAAGGAATGTGTAAAATACGAAATGGAATGGATGGGTAAAAATTAATTAATTAAAATCTAAAAATTGTTGTGGAGAAAAATTTGATATTAGTTACAACTTTAGGTTTTAGCTGACCAATATAGTAAATATTTATCATATTAAATAACAAAAAATAAATGAATTGTGCATAAAAAGAATTATTTCTTTTATCTTAGAAATTTTCTTTATATCTGTTCATTTATTTTATATTTACAAACTACATATGTAGAAAATAAATCAGGGTTTTCTTTATTATATGATTCTAATATTTATTTAAATTTACTCGTTTAATTGATAATAAAAGCAAATTTTATCTACACTAAAGTGATTGCTCATACTTATAGAATATTGTTATTTGAATGACCTTATTGGTTTTTCTCCAATTAAAAATAGAGAAAACAAATAGAATTTTTTAAGAAAGAAGCTTGATTCAGAAAAAATTGAATGAAAAGTGAAGAGCTATTAAATGAAGATTTAGAGTCATCAACAACACAAAGAACGAAGCTCCTATTTTTTTTAAATTGCATGAATAATCATTAAAATTGATTTTGAATTTTATGACAAAGGTATTTCAGACAAAATTTTCTTTCTTCATCCATTTTGCTCAACCAAAGAAATTTAAGTAAAACCAAAAGATGATTAATAATAAAAAATATTTTTTATCCCTCTATTTCAGTAAATAAAGTAATATTAATGAATAATATCAATTTTGTTTCAAATTGTTTGGGGTTAATTAACAAATTTAATATGGTAATAAAAAGAAAAATAATTTTATATTCTGTAGATGCTGTTGGATTATCAATCCTTATCT